CGCCGGACCAGCAGCTCCGCGGTGCATGGTCACCTATCCCTTGTCATGATCATTATGGTTCTGGCTACAAGGACATTGCTTTTCACCATGGAAAGGCTTTTGCTATCACCAGCTCGGAAGAGCTCTTCTGCCATGAATCATTCGTTGCCAACAGAGAGAATCATCAACAGATGGATCAGCCTCTCGTCAACCATGTCATCAAGAAACAGCGGGACATGTATGCCAACTCCTACCTGGTCGTATCATCCGATGACCAAAAGCTACTGATGGTGCGGTGGAGGAGGAGCAGTACTGATGTCTTCGTGTTGAATCTGTGTGTGTTTGAGGCAGATTTTGACAAGGGTCATTGGTTGGAGGTGAGGGACTTGGGAGAACAAGTCCTCTTCGTCGGCAGGAATTGCTCCAGGGCATTTGCCGCAGGCCGAGCCTCGTCGGAGCACCATGATCAGATATTCCAAGGAGGTAACCGTGTGTTTATTGTAGGCACCGAGTGGAAGCGGGCATGGCCATTGATTGAAGCTGCCAGCTGCGACCCCCACAATCTCAGCTATTGCGTGTATGACATGATCAGCGGCGAAACTAGCCTGGTCTCACTTGACGGAGCTTCCTACAAGCAAAAATCTGTCTTGGGCTGGTTCTTCCCCTAGGAGTATTAATCTCCTAACAAGAGAATTTTTAAAACGGTCAATATTGATATGTGCTGTTTATTTTGTTTAATCCAATTGCTGGTATTTACTATTACCTCTTCGAAGGTACGCTATATGTCAATAACTTTTAATTATCCCTGTTGACAATAAGATTGTCAATGATGAATTTTTGTTTGCAGAAAAAATAGACAACTCATGTTAAATCGCTTAAGGCATAGGTATATTGTAGGATTCAATTCTTTATATCGTGTATATTGAATATCCAAACAAATATCAATTTGATACCAGTGATCTGAATTAAGATTCTGGAGTATCTGTTTCCACGTTTGGGCTTTGGCTGACAAGACGAATGTGTGTCCATATTTTCCCACATTATCTGTATGTGGTAACTAGCAGAACTCGAGACCAAGGTAGCACACGTGGTCGATTGTGAATTTGTAATATGATCTCTTGACCCAAGGTTGATACTGATCGATCAGGCCTACCTACATCTACAATGCTAAATTAGTTTCATTAGGTTCATTGTAAAAAAAATGTGCTATTTATATCTAGTGTTGCAGCCATTGATACATTTCTCTAATAATTTGGTCAAATATAAAAGGTTTGATTTACCACCAAAAAAAAAAAAGTTTGATGTACAAAGAAGATACAACTTCAAAATTTTGTAGCGGAGGAACTGTAAAGACATAATTTAACATAATAATCGATACTTCTAGTGTCGATTTATAAAATCCGCAGCCAGTTTGCGTGTGACACACATGTTGCATCCTCCATAATAATCGGTTCCAACCTGCTCCAATATGAGTCTAATTTATTGATCCTTAAGGCTCGCGAGAAGCCGCAGCAGGATATGCCTGGTGCTCTGGGTAGTGATCAAAGCTATACCTTCCATTAGCTTTGTGCAACTCATCCAACTCCATTGGACAGTAGTATCTATGTCCAAGAAGTGGCCTGCAAATTCTGGCAAAATATCTTCAGTTGTAAATTGCTATAGTCAATAACAATATCTTCATTGCCACTTGGTCGATTTCTTCTTGCTTCTATCCTTCCAATATATAATACATATTTGCATTTTTTTGCAACGTATAAATTTCAGGAATCAACGGATCTTTATTTTTTGCGGTACTCAAAGCCAAAGATGGCGACGGCTGTTGCAGGTGTGTTGGATTGATGTCCATGCCCTCTCAGCGCTGGTGTTAAGAAAGGAGGAAGCAGCGTGGCGGCAATTGTACCATGGTCGAAGATGATGACCTGTTTGCGAATGGTTGCAGATCTTTCTGCTGGAGGGGTCTTCTCTCAAGATTCAGGGATGATGACACAGGGCTCCGGAGATCTTCTTGTGTTATGGTTGTCTTAGGGTACTCTATGTGTTCATGGTCCTTTGTGTTTGCGTTTCAGTGTGCTTGTAAGGGTCACCTACTTTGTACTGATTCGTGATTTGAATGAAGATTTTTCTCAAAAAAAAAATACTTGAGCCCACGTACATAGTATATGCATCGACACGAGGCCTTTATTTTGATGCCAACACTATTGCACACGGTCTCCTTATATGCGAGGAAAATGCGGACCTGGATCAGCCCATGCAAATCCCACGGCCAAGTTGCTGATCCGCGTCACATCACCATCGGCGTTGCCACCGTATGCTGCGTCGTCGACATCAGGTCCGGCCTTGACAACCTCCGTAGCCCAACCTTGCAGCAGTGGGCCCTCGGCATTGACGTTGGCAGCAGTGGCATCGCAAGGCAGGGGACCAGCATGCTGCCTACTCTTGTTTGAGGCGATGCAGTCACCGACCTTTTTCATATAGTTATCCGCCATCCAGCCCAAGCTGGCGAGCTGCTCGATGTTGAGGCCGGCGAGGCTCTGGCGGTGACCGGCCAGGACGTCGTGCAGCAGCACCTTTGTCTCGAGCCGGTGGGTGTCGCTTCGCCCCTTGCAAAGCTGCTCCTGGAGCTTGCTGATGCGCTCCCGGATATAGTCTTCTCCCCCAATCTTCTTCTTGCACCGGTCAAGCTCCGGCGTGGACCTGAAGCGGTCTATAACGCGCATCGCCTCCGGGACAGTCGGATAGACCTCGGGCCCCTGCGATGACTCGCCCTCGGGGTAGTACATTACGTAGCACACGTCGACGCCGCACAGGGTGGACAACTCGCGGGCCTTCTTCTTCATCCCGATGCTGCGTTTCTTGAACGTCGCCTTCCGGGTTGAGCCGTTGGAGATGTACTCCATGTTCACCTTCTTGGGAGCCATGGACACACACGGACGACCGCTACAAAAAAGAACGAAAGAATGTAGGCAGGAATCGAAGTGAAATGGTTGGTGTGCTTGCCAGATGAGGGGATGGTGGTCTTATAGGGGAGTATCAAATCGAATGACAAGAGTACGATCATCCACGTGATAATTGGAAAGAAAATTATTCTAACAGATACGAGGGTCGCCTGCATTAATGTTGTTTAATGCATATAGTTAGGGGAAGCATATATTCTAGCCTTAATTTTTATTATACCAATCTGATCCGTGTGATCTGAATTCACATTCCGGAGTGTCTGTTTACACGGTTGGGATATGGCTGACTGGCAGAATTCAAGACCGCTGGTGTACGTGGTCGAGTGTCCATTTGTGATTCGATCTCTCGATCTCAAGTTGATACTGATCCATCAGGCATTTGAAGAATCAGTTGACCAAAATTAATTATCATCGCATGGTCAAATCTAGACGCTAGAATTGGGGAGACGAACCAAAGAACGCGCCTACACACAGAATGTGCTACTACATGAGTGTAAAAACAAGAGAATGTACTACTACACTATGTACTATTTTATTTTTGAGATGAAATTGGGAATTTTTTGATATTCATGTACTATTTTGGCCCGATTTGTCTTTTTTGATGAGAGTTGCTCATATGTCCAAATGACTTCAAATTTGGAGCGGGCCTCACGCATCAAATTTTCTACCGCACAAAAAAAGTGATTTTTTTTATTTTTTATATTCTTTTTATAAATGGGTGCAAATGACCCTAGACAATGGAACGCCCTACTCGTTTCATCGAAAATCTATCTCTGCACCTGAGCTCTCTCCACCCGCGCTGACAAAAGAATCAAAACAAATACGAGAAAAAAATAGAAAATTTCCAATATATTTTGTCTGGTAGACAATTTGATGCGGGAGGTCTGCACCAATTTTCATATCATTTGGACACATGAGGAGCTCTTAGCAAAAAAGATAAATTGGGGTCCATGAAAAAGTATACTGTTCATGTATTGTTTTGACCCAATTTGTCTTTTCTGCTGAGAACTGCTCATGTGTCCAAATAACTTGAAATTTGGAGCGAATCTCACGCATCAAATTATCTACCGCACAAAAAAAATTGATTTTTTTATATTATTTTGTATTTTTTACGATTTTTTTATAACCAGGCGCAGATGAGCCTTGGCACAGAAATGCCCTACTGGAGTTTGATTCTATAGTTGACGAAAGTATGATAATAGTACAAGAGTACGTGTGTGTCACTGTTTATAAAATAAACGCTTTGAACGTACAGCAACTGTCGTCGGTGTGTGCCACTGTTCCATTTTTGGATAAGGTGCTGGCCAACATCGGCGATGTACCTGCCCATGTGGGCGATCACGACGTGGATGACCACGTCGCGCGTCGGCGACTCGGCGAACGTTGGCCGGCGATCGGCGATCACGAAGCCGAAATTAATGTCCGCCGCGGATCTTATACTTCCATGCGTGCATGACTCTTACATACTTATACTTAGATTAGATCGATTAAACGGTTGAGCTTTATTTCCCACATGCATCTGCATCGGAGTCTACTTCTTTAGGCTCTGAGTTATTTTATTTGATTCCCAAGTTTTTTATGCACCGTATGTACATACTTATACTAGTAAAAGATAAATACGGTTCTTCAAACCCCATTTCTTATAGCTAGTGTGATGTGTGCGCCGTCCCGGCTCCGCCATCTAGTTGTCACCTCGTCGAGCGCCAGGTTCGCCGTCGTCACCTCGCGGCCGAAGGTTAGACCTGCGAACCTGGTGCTAACTCGTCTACCTCTTATTACCGCTAACTCGTTAGATCCGCGTTGCCTCCAGGGAAGGGCCCCACCAGTGCATGGGGCGTCGCCGGATATGGCAAGTGGGGGTCCGCGCTGCCGCCGGGGAAACGTGCTGCCAGACGTGGTAACCTAATTGGGAACCTAATTGTTTTGAGTGAAGACCTGAGGTAAAAAATCTACTCTTGATAGATAATAGATATGTACAGTATAAAATATTATTTCTTAGCTAGGTTATGGTGAAAAAAAAATCTACTCTTTTCTTAAGGTACACAGGAAACAAAATTGATTTTGAAACGCATATGTATAAGATATTCCTTCTTAACTTTGGTATAACAGTAAGCCACGGTGACATATAATTACAATCTGCCCTTCATGGTCAGATGACATTGAAATACAAACGGAATAATGTTGAAGAAAAGCTAGTAAAAGTTACACTGTGTCATCTTTATAAGGGAAAAATGTCATTTACCATAAATCTATATTATCTAAATAGTTCATCCCCACTATAGTATTTCTCTTGACATGCAGCCTATCCAACTCATCAACATGCCACCTCATCATTTTTTCAACGAATTGGGTGATAATATTTTTTTGTTTGAGGGATTTGTGTGATTTCACTTTGATAACCGAAGCAGATTTCTTCTGTCTTCCATTACCGATGAGTCAGTCTATAATAAAACCAATAAAGAGAAGCCCATCGGTCCATCCCCCCTACCTATTCTTCCTCCATATATGCATAAGGGCAGCGGATCGGGTGACGCCGTCAACCACACTCGCCACGAATCACCGGACGGTACCCCGCAACCCAACGCTCCGGCATTCAACTAGGCAACAACACCTTCGGCAGTCACTTCCATGTTCCTCCAGGCTCCACTGCCTCCCATCTCCTCCATATCCACACCGATCTAGGATTTCCACAGCCAAGATGTCAAATCGGGTCAAGAGCGCCACTCTCCCGGTGCCTCACGTCTTTGCAGCGGAGGAGCTAACCACAATGGATACAGCGGTGACTGTTGCTATGGTGGAGGAAGCAACAACGGCTATAGAGGCGGAGGAGGCGTCCATGGATCGTACAAGTGAGAGACGAACTGCAGCCATGCGAAGGTGGTGGTGGAGGCTGCAGTCGTGGTGGTCGTGGCGGCGGTGATGGCGCTGGTGGCGGCCGTGGTTCCTACAACTTCGGCAAAGAGGGCCACATGTCTTTTTTTTTAATTAACTGTCGCCGCTTTATTTATTAAAAGAAGTCGGGAATTTCATCCGATACAGTCTCAAGAATGCAGTCTGGTGGAGATGATAGCCACTCCTGCGAGCGCTCATCACCCATTCCCACCTTAGCTAACCTATCAGCGGCGGCATTTGCACAACGGCGAACCCACGAAACTCTAAACGAAACAAAAGGTCTCAGCATCGCCTTGATTCTTTCCACCGTCGGCCCCAGGGCGGAGAGGTTCATGTCTTGCATGTTAAGCATCGAAACCACCCTTGCGGAGTCGCTCTCGAGATGAAGCCTTGACACGCCCATTTTACTCGCCAGCTCGATTGCTTTCTTGCATGCCAGAAGCTCCACCTTGTCCGGGTCAGCTACATGTCCCAGGAAATGGCACGAAGCTGCTCGGAAAGCACATGTGTGATCTCGCAGCACCACACCAGCGCCCCCTTCTCCCGGTGCTTGGAAACCGATCCATCAGCATTGGCTTTGATCCAGCCCATCTCCGGCGGCTCCCGTGCTTCTCTTCCCCTTGCGGCCCTTGGGTTCACCTCCTTCTTGTGGATCTCCTCCCACTCTCTCACATACGCAGCCACAGATAGTGATATTTCATGTGGCTCAGCTATCTTCCGTCCATCTCTCGCCTCATTGCAAGCAAGCCAAAGAGAGTACACAGCCTGTACCATAACAGACTAGTCAAACTCCGGCGCCTGTGCGAACCATTCCAGCAACCAACTAGCCAACCTGCTCTGGGAATCATAGTTGCACGGTGGGATCGCCACCGAGACTCCCAATATCGAGCCAAGTCGCTTCCAGAAGCACATGGAGTGAGGACACCCCCAAAATCTATGGTAACCAGATTCTTCACGTTCACACGCAGCACAAAACACACCGGCCTTGATTCTGCGCCGTAGAAGTTCAGCTCCCGTGGCGAGACCATTCTTCACGAGCCTCCACATGTGAATTTTAGCTTTGCCTCGCGCCGATGTACCCCAAAGTGACAGCCACCCCCTATGAGTCGCAACAGTAGAAGAAGGACCCAGCTGGCTTTGCTTTGCATCATTCAGCGCCATTCTCAGATGGTATGCCGATCTCACCGTAAAAACGCCATCGTTCGTGAAGTTCCACGCCATATAGTCCTGCACACCTGGGCCACCAACAGCGATCTGTTTGATGTCAGCAGCGTCGTCCATCGAGAATATCTCGTGTAGCTTGGTGTCATCCCATGTAGTGCCCGTATGGTCTAGAAGATGAGCCACCTTTACCACGCCTTGGGAATAAACTGTGCCCGGTGGCAGCAGCGATCCTTGGCGCGGGATCCATGGGTCATGATGAATGTTCACAGCTGAACCATCTCCGATGCGCCATATAATACCTTCCCGCAGTAGATCTCTCCCATGTAGGATGCTCCGGAATGTGTACGATCCACCCGACGGGCAGGTGGCACTCATGATAGAAGTCTCACTGAAATATCGAGCACGCAGTACCCTGGCACATAGAGCGTCCGACACTTTGAGAATCCTCCATGCCTGCTTTGCTAACAGCGCCTGGTTAAAAGCCTCAGGGTCACGGAAGCCCATACCACCAGTACGTTTAGACTGGCACATCTTGTCCCATGCAATCCAATGCACCTTCCTTTCACCATTCATTGCACCCCATCAGAATTTTGAGGAGATTGAAGTCAGGTTCCGGCACATCTTCTTTGAGAGGTGGAAACAACTCATGGTAAAAGTAGGAGTCGCCTGTAAAACAGATTTCACAAGTACTTCTCTTGCTTTCTTGGAAAGACCTAGTCCCTTCCATCCAGTTACCTTGCCCTTGGAGCACTCCGTGACATATCTAAACGTGCCATCTTTGGATCTCCCCACCACTGTTGGGAGTCCCAAATATCTCTCACTAAGCGCTTCTTGTTCAATGCCAATAGTCTGCTTCAGGACATCTTTTTGCTGCTGCCCACAACCTTTTCCAAAGAAGATAGACGATT